AAATAAGGCAGTTCCACCAGTTAGGGGTGAAGTAAACCGCATGCTTAGCAATATGGCCATCATTTTGATATTTCTATTTTTGGTTTTCTGCTCTGTATTTCTGGTGACTGATGCGAGCAGCATGTCAGCAGTGCCATCAACGATTGCTGTGTTTGTAAGTGGAGCTATTCCTAGCTTACTTTTCAAGGGATTGACACACGGAAAGCGATTTACGGGTGAGACAAGGGTGAGAATGATTAGAGAAATCGAGGAGGCGGTTATAAAGTACAAGGAAAATACCGCGGTAGAGTTGAATAATCTGTTGCAAAAGGACACTTTATCGAATGAACTGACTTTGGCCTAGTACAATGAAGGGTTATGATATTCGGAAAGTGCCGCGATCGTCGTGCGTCCCTTTCTCATCCTTTGCTTGGTTTCGTGAGGAAGGGCGCATCAGCTTTCCTAGCTACTACTACTTTTCATATTCATTCCTTAGTTCTTCTAAGTACTCTAAAAGGACATTCTCATCTTATAAGATATGAACAAGAAGTAAGATTAGATAACTTATTGATTTTGCCAATGTCAGTCCTGACGCTATGTGTGCTATGTTCCATCAGTTATTAATCATTGCTGTCACTTATTAATCGTTGCTTGACTGAGTATTATGTACTTCAAGGCCTCTGTACTGAAATAAATATTTCGTAAATTGCATTCATGACTTTGTATTTCCTTTGGTATTGCGGAAAATAATTTCACAGATCATTATTCTGCCCCACTTCCCTTTCCTAAGCAGGGACTGTTACTGATGTGAACCAAGTGGAAAATTTAATGTAGTTTTCTTATGGAGACGAATGAAGAGAAAGTAGCGTTCTTTTAATTATAGTTCATTGTAAGCTGTTTTAAACTTATCCAGGCATCTTGAGCGGAAGCAGTCGCTACGAATTTTTAACAGTGGTACAGATGCTCTACTTCAATCCCTAAATTCACATCTGTTACCACATTTTTTGTGTTGAATTAGATAAGTGAGACGAGGTTTGACAGAAACTTTCCTGAAAATAGAAACCTTGTCAGTTTTGGTTTATGCTTATCTCCAAAAAATGAAAACAATCAATGAGAATGTTGTAACTGCAGCCATAGTGTCACTATAGAAATAGTCGTACCCATTCCTTCACGTGCCTCCAACTTCTCTTGAGTAAGAAGCTTGCGCACTGATTTTGTCGCTGTACATGGCCTGGTCATTCGCAGTTTCTTTCAACTTCGTTTTGCAAAAAATATGTTTTTCTCCTAATGCGTGATTGTGTTCCCGCTTCAGATAGATTACCAGACATAATTATAAAACACTAACTTGCTTGTGTAATAATGAAACGATGAAACAATATCGATCTGTGCTTCGCAAAATATCACAACGCGTCATTGTCTCGCAGATCAATTATTTGCCTCAGCCTTTGGCTTCCCTAATAATTGTCCCTTCTGACTCGGTATATTTCTCGATGTTTTGCTTCTTCTCTTCTGAATTCCCTGTTGATGTGTGAGTTGTGGTCTTTTAAAATGAAATTAAAGGTTGTATTCGAAGACGACTCTGCTTTTTGTTACGGAAAGATTCTGTCCCAGGCCTCGTGCGACTTCTCTGTTCTTCATCGCTTCAAATCTGTGCTTCATCGCTTCAAAGTGTACACAAAATCGCCAGTTACGAGAGCTATTTGGATATTTGAGTCCTATAGCCTGCGATACAGCTGTAATTGTCTCTAAAATCCTAATTTCTTGTTGTTATAATAAATGAGACTTAGACTAGAGTAGGAAAAAAACCTCTTGATAAGTCATAACAGTCCCTCCTCCCCCCCCCAATGAGTTTGTAATCGTCCCATTTCTGCGTGGTTACCAAGGCATCCTTTCATGGCTTCCACGTCGGCAGACTACGTAGCTTATCGATAATGTTTTGCCCTTAATTGAGTTGATTGTTCAAAGAAATGAAATTACTGAGGCGGCGGAAAACAATTCTGGTTATTTTAGTGTTTATATGGCTCGGGGGTATGATTTATTTTCTGGCACCGTTGACAGGATCAAGGGATGACACTCGATCTAACGGAGATCAGGAAGACACTCACATAAACTTTCAACAGAATACAGACAATCGAGACACTTATTATGACAAGGTAAGCTTGAATTATTTTTATGATCGTATATTTGTAAATTACCAAGGCTAAAGTTTAGAAATGTAACTGTAATTCTTGTAGGAATTGATAAATTATTGTATAATGTGGCGTCAAGTGTTTTAAACCTCGTCTCCGTAACTTTAAAAGGAAGCCCTATATAATGTCGAGTTTAAAAAGAATTTTGAGGAAATATATCCTTGGATTTTCACCATGGTGATTCACTGTTCTGTTTTAATTTAATCCTAGAATGAATTTGTAGGGTTAAGAGGAAAACCAGTTGAAACAGACTCTCGAAGAATAGAAGGTTTCGACGTGGAAAGTTATTTAAGCGTCACTAGGGTGAGGCAAGGTGAAGATGCCTATGCCAGTAATGCATATAATCAAGAAGCTAGCGACAAAGCTCCCTTTAACAGAGATGTTCCTGATGTGAGAGCCTCTCAGTAAGTAATAAAATTTTTAAAAAGATACACACAGTTACCTGTAATATGGACTAAATAGATACAGTTTTGCCAGGTAAATTTTAATCTTAGGTTAAAAGCAAAAAACCCTAACAGTTTGTTTTGTCTCCTGGTCATGATTATGAGTAATTATATATGGGAGGCAAAGGAAATTGCCATCTTGCAGTATTAGTCTCACAGGCTCCACAGGGTCAGGATGGTCTTAGCAAGGGGCATTTTCAACTGATTAATCAGGAATTCATGAAAGTTTGTCCCTCCCCTCGCAAAATGGAACACTGCAAGACATAGTTGTATTGAGAGCTTATATTATAGACTGTACAATTATTGCTTAGGGTTAGTTACTTACTTCTGAAAATTACTCTAATGCAATATATAGTATACGTCTTTTTTAAACATTTTATACTTCAATCTATAATATTTAATACTTTAATTTATATACAGTATATCTTTAAACAGTCATACTGCACTTTTATTCATGACATCTCTGGCAGTGGCCATGGGCAGTATAAAGTGAATCCTGTTTTCTGATTTGCTACTTGAGTGAAAAAGATGGACCCATCTTGCCTGCTGGGGATTGCCTGCTTTGATCCCATGAAGGAAAAAAATTACTTGCTGCAGACATTTTAAGCTCATAGTTTTTTTGGACAATTTCGGCCACAGAATTGCAAAAAGTGGCGAAAGAGGGCCAAAACAGCTCTTGCGGGCTTATTGTGCTTTAAAAACATTTGGCTTTTTTCTCCATCTCTTATAATAAGCAAGTCTGGATTCTTAATGAAGTGGTTATCTTTTTGCTATGTAATGAATTCCTTAATGATCAAGTGTGAGGTCAAAATGACTGGATATTCAGTTAGCCTTGTTCCTTTTTTTATGGAGCAGGACTTGGTCTTGCTTCATTATGTTTCATCCAAACCTACTTTGAGCTTATTCCACACACGTTCAGTTGATATTGGCAGAATAGTAAGCCACATGTAATTATGTATCTGACCCCTGCACCTTGTAATGCTGTCTTATCATGTCCTCTTAAAAAAAATTGTTTTTATTTACGTTGAAGCTCTTGTCAAACTGAGATGAGGAAAATGTTTGCAAATGATCCACTGATTTGCTTCACATGTCCATGTAGGTACATGGCTATCAAGAACTCATTTCAAAACTTAGTAGTTACATACCTCCTCTGTGTTTAGATGCCAAGAAAGATTGTGGATAAGTGATGATTTACCAACAACAAGTATTATTATTTGTTTCCATAATGAAGGCAGAGCTGCCTTATTACGGACAGTCATAAGGTACTGTTTGTTTGTCATAAAAATTAATATTGCTACTTTAACTTTGTTTTACAACTTTTACCCAATTTTGAGTTAATTAGTTTATGTACAGGTAAGCATGTGCATTGGTGAGCATTATCTAATAAGCGAGAAACTACAAGCACTCTCATTGATCAAAATCTATCATCCATTGTACTGGTAAACCCTTGTTTCAAGTTTACATGTATTTTATAAAAGAAATAGATGGCTCTCTCTATCAATTTACCAGCTTAATAACCCACTTAGGATGTTTGGAGAACTTGAGGAAAGTTTGTTAATCAATTATTAGCGACCAATATTTTGCTTAATTAATTTCCACTCATGTACATATTGGTGCCATTTGCTGAGACCCTGTAAACTGATGTATTAGTTTTGGTGCCACAAATTGACTTTTTTTTTCTGTTGGGCTCACTTTAGTTTGGTACTAATTATCGTTGTAATTACTTTTTACAGTTCTCTCAATAGAAGTCCTCCTAACTTGTTAAAAGAAATCATTCTTGTAGATGACTTTAGTGATAATGGTAAGTTCTCAATGTTCTGAGGTGCCTCTTTTACTATGGCTTGTAGTTCTTGTATATTGGTTGTTCATTGTATAGGATCAAAGTTACAGTGCAACTATTTTGAAATGTAGTATTAAATGTGGTTATATGGAACATACATTTATTCAACTTCACTGATTGGTTTAAAATAAATATGCCAGAAATTTTGTAGTTTTGTAATAAAGTGCAATGCGTTTAAAACTTCATAAGCATAATAATTAGACAAATTTTTGTAATAAACTGTTGAACCTATTACACCCAAACATCAGTTTACACGTCCTCCTCACTGTTTTCTATACATTTCTTATGCTACTTACAAGGAGAATTTGTCTAACGGTCAAGAGCTTCATGATCATTTCCTTTATTCTCATTACCATGAGGTTCAACTCAGGGGTGATACTCTTGGGAGAAATTGGATGCTTATCATTCTAAAGGGTTCAAGAGTTGACGTAAATTTTAAAATCATTTGTCTCTGTAGCTGAGGATGGAAAGCTTTTAGAGAAACTACCTAAAGTAAGAGTACTCAGAAATAACCAAAGAGAAGGTGAGTTAATATCAACTTTGTCACAATTATTTGCCCTGATTTTGGGAGTTCCTTCAATAATTTCACTTGAATAGTCAATCTGATTTTGAACAAACTTCACAAATGCTAATTTTGAGTGCAAAAGTTTCTTACTTCCTCAAGAGTTATCTTGAATGTGTCAGCAAACAACTTACAGCTAACACAACTTCTACTTACAGGCACTGAAAAGTTTATTTACATATACCATATAACAGAACAAGTCATGACTGATAATTATGGTACATGTATTATTTTACCTGGGTACCTTTAAACTCAATATCTAACAAAAATTAGAGAGTTATTTTGCACATACACAGAGCTAACAATATTCTTTGTCAAAAATTGTCTCCATGGGAACAAAGCTGTTGGTACCAGATTTGTTGGTCATAATAACAACCATTCTTTGCATTGTTACAATGATTGTTTTTTTTCAGTGAATTTGTAAATTGCTTTCTGTTCTGGACTGTATTTTGGATTCGATGTAATGCTTTTGTGAAGGCTCAGTTTAAAAATAAAAATTGTGGCTGTTGGAGAGTGCAGTGTCTTTACCTTCCTTTATATAACTTTAGATTGAATATTTTTATACAGGACTTATGAGGTCACGTGTGAGAGGGGCAGATGAAGCTAAGGGTGAAGTGCTGACTTTCTTGGACAGCCATTGTGAATGCAATAAGAACTGGCTGGAACCACTTCTGGAGAGGATTAAAGAGGTGATTTAAATTTTGTAGCTCAATCTTTGACAATAGTTTATTTACATAAACCCCTTCCACAAATGGCCAACCTACACATAGTCATTTTTCTTTTCTTTAGAACTTTGTAAAACTTTAACCCAAGAAAAAAAATTGTACTACAATTGCCAAAATATATATACCCAAAGCATGTTGATATTTTCAATTTTTTGTGGACATGCACATGTACTTGAATATCCAATGGAAGATCCATTTATTAAGATTGATAATGTTCATGTACGGTTACATCTTGCTCTGCACTCACATTGTAAACCACGGTAGATACCAAACCCTGATTAGTAGTCCAATTTCCCCTCCTTTCTGCTCTGTATTTCTTGAAGACTACAGTGTAGGAATCAATTTGGTGTTACATACGAGTGTACATTTTTTCAAGATAACAGGTCTTGACTAATGTTTGCCTTTTCTCCCATATCCTTTTTGCTTAGCAATGTTTGTTTATGAAGAATGTATGTCACACTGACTAAATGGTTTTACATTCCTTACTTTGAAAGGGGGAACCCAACTTATTGATGAATTCTACTTATTTTGACTTTTACTGTTTGTTTAGAATCGCAACATGATTGTGAGTCCAATCATTGATGTGATAAACATGGACACATTTGAGTACCTAGGGTCCTCATCAGATCTGAGAGGAGGTACATGACTTTACACACACCTGTTCTGTACTGTTTGATAATATGTAAAAGCATATTTTCATAGCAGGTGTTATAATCATAACTGTTTGGTTAAATGCTTTGATCAGGATGTATGTACATATACACAGGTAGTCTGATTGTATGGGTGTTTTCTTCTGGACCAATTCGGATTGCATGATGAAATTGTGCTGGTATTTCTAGTCAAATATTAGTGAAATGATACTCCAGCAAACAATGCTATGACTTGCCAATTGTTATACATGTATGTAGAATATGTAATTTATAACTGTTGTTTAAACTCAAAATCAAATTTAGCTGAAAATCTTAAAACCAAATTAAAAGACTGCAAAATAGTTTGATATACAGAGTATATTACAGTTATTATCCTGATGTGCCTTCTTTCAAACTGTACTTTAAATACGATTTTGACTGAATTTCATTTACTTCAACATGTATTTGTCCTGCAAACAACTGATTTTTTAGCCAAGTAGTACCACTTATTTTCTTAAAGTAAATTGCATCTTTTGCATTGTACTGTAGGGAAGCAAATTTTTGTAGTTGTGCTAACAATCCAGGTGACAGGTTACTGAATGAGGCTGTTAAATTTTTCCAGGATTTGGCTGGAACTTGAACTTCAAGTGGGATTTTCTTCCACCTAATGTGCTTGCTGAGAGATCTGGTCAACCAATGGCTCCAATTAAGTATGTGTGCCAGATGAACATGATAATATTTATTCCCTATTCTGCCCTTTAACCATTTACTGACCATAACATCAGTATGCATATTCTCCATACTGTTTTCCATACATTTCCTAAGGTGCTGATAGGGAGAATTTGTTTAACAATCAAGAGGTTCCTTAGTTGGTGATCATTTTCCTTTATTCTCATGACCTCAACATTTGAATCAGGGGTGGTATTGTAAGGAGAAATAGTATGCCAAGGGTCCAAAGGGTTGATTGAGTTTTTGGATCAATATCAGTATCTGGGCAACTGCCCACCTACCCCTCCCCTAACAGTCTATTGATAACAAGTTAGGGTTAATGTTGGGTTAGGGGAGGGGTAGGTGAGCAGTTGCCCAGATACTGATATTGATCTGAGTTTTCAATGATGTTCAGTCACAGACCTCTACAGTGTGCAAGTTATCAATTACAGTAACTCAGTGGGAGATGTGTGTTAAATTTGATTCGTATCACTTTAATTGCAGAACTCCTGTTATAGCTGGTGGGCTATTTTCAATTGACAAGAAATGGTTTGAAAGGATCGGTAAATATGACATGGACATGGACATTTGGGGAGGAGAGAATTTAGGTTTGTATACTATACATGAAGCTAATCTCTAAGTTAAATTTTAGAGTTGCGCAGTATGGTTACTGTGTGTTAGAATTTACTTTTAAACTTGGAATGGATTGTAATGAGCTAATAACCCAGTCACACCAAAGCTTAAACATGTTTAAAGCTGTTTTGTTAAACCTGGGTTAATTTTTTTTTATTATAAAAGGTGCTAGACCCTTGGTCATCGAATTTAATTGTGGCACATTGAGAATACCTCTCAAGATGTAAGGTATACCCCATTTACACCAGCAAAACATTTTTAGTTACTTGAATCCTACAAAAAAATCAGTTTTTCAGTTCTCTGTTTCTGATTTTCATTCAGTTAATTTACTCTTTAACTCCCAGATCAAATTTGTAATTCTCTTTCACTGTCAGCCATACAGTTCTTATAATGTTAGTTCAGACAATTTAGTATTGTATCAACTAATTATCCCCAAATTGATATTTTTCT